AGCTGGTGGCGAGATGCAGGGCAGGATGCTCCGACCTGCACCTGGACCAGCTCCGAGCATGGAGCACACAGCCCCTGCAAATTTTAGTTCTGTCCACCCCAATGCCTCCGGTTGCAGGGGCTCCGACAGGCAGAGGTCTCCTCTCCCTGTGCCCAGGAGGGCCAACAAGAACATTTTGCATCTTCAAGTGAGCAGAAGTGCAGCTTGTCTCCTTCGGATTTTGAAGGCTCCCATACAAATGGCTGCATCTGAGCGAATCGCCTACACTCCTTTATTGTCAGCAGCAAGAAATGGGCATAGCGCATCTCTTCCTGAAGAACATGATTAAAAACAGCCTGGGTGAGCCATGCTCCCTTGAAGGACCTGTTCCTGCAACCCGCTTGGATATTAAAAGGCAACATCGGCGTGGCTGAAGTAAGGTGAAATGAGCCCTGTTCTCTTTCTCCCCCACAGCTGGATTTTTGCAATAAGCAGCTGGCAGGGAGGAAGAAACATCATCTGGCTGTTTCCGGCTTGCTCCGTTCCCCAGCTCCTGCCAGCCCTGCATCAAGGGGTGAGCCCACATCTTTGGGTGCCCTGGGTCTGTGTGGCATATGCAGCAGCCTGGGGACAGGAGCAACGCTGCCACAGCCCCAGGGGCAGCATGGGCATGGCCAAGTGCGGATGGAGAGCGTGGGCTGTCCCTGGGCTGCTCTGACAATTCCTCCCCATTTTTAAATCTGCCAAAACAACAGCCTTTTTTTTACAGCACTGGGATGCTGTTGCAGGATTGCCTGCAGGGTGGGCAAGCCTTCCAGGCATGCTTCTGAATGGACACCAGACACAAAGCCTGCCCTAGTCATCCTGGTTTATAACATTGAGCTTTCTTGCTTGGTTCCCACACTTCCACACACTGATGCAGTAACAAAAGCTGTCCAACAACCTTAGTATTTACAGGCTTTTCTGTACCATAACCTGTGTGCTTCATACACCACAACTCGGTCACAGAGCCAGCCAGCTCTGTTAGGAAGAGCTGAGAGGGCTCATGCAAGATGATGGGACTGCCAAGAGGGAGCCAAGAGCCAAATTGCACTTTCCTTCGACCTCCCGCCATCTAGCACAAGACCATTGTCTCTCCACTGCTAGACTGAAAAATCAGCAGCAGTTACGCACTTTTGAGGCAGGGATCTGAGCAGCACTCAGTGGATGTCATCATGATGGTGAATGCACAGGAATGAGGTGCAGCTGCCAGCAGGACAGGCTCACTTCCACTGGGCTTTACCACCAAAGCCAGAGTGCCGCTGGCAGGGGTGAGCCCAACAGGTTCTGTCCCCTTCTGTAAGATGTTCCGCAGAGGTGTATACCCAGAGCCAGTGCCTCAACCCCATCCCATCTCAGCTCCCCTCTGCCAGCAGTTTGGCTCAAGCTGATGAACATTTTTCCAGGACTCACTGGGGATGTGGTTACTGGGATCTTTTCTTCTCCTTTCTCATTCCTGGTACTTCTCTACCTGCTTTCAATTTTTTCACTCCTTCCTTTGGCTTCTCCTCTCCAAACTTATTATAAAGTTATTGAGTTGGTGGCTGAGAAACAAGAAGTGCTGAATCTTTGAGGGCACCAGAAGTTTGCTTTTGTTGTGGTCCCTTCGCATTGCCCAGAGCGGCTGGCAGGGAGCAAGCTGGCTGCAGGCAGTGAGTGCTGCACCCCGGGACTGTGGAGGATGTCGGCAGTCCTTGCAGCACTGGGATCTGCACTGCCGGGATGCTTCATCCCAGAAATGAAGGGCTGTGGTCTCATGAGCTGCTCTGGCTTTGAATATCTGTGACTGGGACAAAGTCAGACCTGTGTGCAGCCACCAGAAAGGTAGAAACTCCACCTTTCTCTTGGGCATTTTCCTAGTGGACCAAAACTTTAAGAGTGATTTGCTTTTTTGTGGCATTCAAAGCCCCACTGACACTCGGACAGGGCCATGGGATGTAGCAGCAGAGGTGATGCCCAACACAGGGGTGTCCCACACCCTTTGGGCAGGTCCTTAAGGCACAGAGTTTGCAGTGGGCTTGAGCAACCCTTTGCAGCACAGAGTCCCAAGATCTGAGTCTCCCTTTGCTTTTGTCCTGCAGTCCCACCCGCTGTCCCTGTGCAACACCAGCGAGGATGAACACACTGAATCGGGATTCATCACCATTGTCAAGCTTGAACAGCCGGATCGGGATCCCAACCCCTGCCTGTCGCTGGCGAACAAGGTATGTGCAAAACCACCCTGAATGTCACCAACCTGGGAGGTGAACCCAGGTGCAGGAAAGAGAGCGGGAGGAGGCAGCAGGGTAGGAAAGAGCTGTTGGAAGGACAAAAGGACATGGGTAGAGCAGGGTCCTCAGCTGAGGGGGTCCTTTGGGAGAGATGCTGTCCCCAACATCCATCCCTCCTTTTTGCACTGCCTGGCTTTGTAAAAGGTGTGGAGTTTTCCCTAACCTGACAGCTCTGGGATGCTCAGGCCTTACCCCAGCATCCCGTACGCTTTACTGCCTGGCAGCCTCATGCCCCTCCTGTTTTGCAGCCTCCCATTGCTTGCTGGCCTGTTGGGGGGATTTGTGTTTCTCTATGTCCTCTGTCCTGTGCAAAAACATGGACACAGAAAACATCTTCTGTGGTCCTATCTTTAAAAATAATACTGTAATACTTCACTGGATGAGGCATGTGAAGAATCAGCGCTGAGCAGTTCAGATAAACGCAAACCAGACGAACTAGTGGTGGGACGTGACTCGTTAACAGTGCGGGCCACCATCTGCCGTGGAAAGGCATGGGAGATCTCAGAGGTCTTAGATCAGGTCTCCTGTGAAAGAGGTACCTTAGTGAAACAGCAGTTACTGTGTCAAAAGCTAGGTCACTGGTACAATTCTCCGGTAATAAGGAAGTCAGGTAGGAACGAGGGTCATTTTAAGCCTTAAAATCTTTATGTCTCTGATAAAGCTGCATGGATAAGGCTAACATTAGCTTTTCCTTCAGTGGTTCACTGCATCCTTTTATTGTCTCTCTACTAAATGTTGTGTTACTTTCCACAAGCACAGAAAAAAACTCATTTAGCTCTTCTTGGCTTTATCTGGATTGCATTCAGGTGATGCCACCCGTTATCTGCTTTCTGCCGGTGGTGACATGCTGGAGACAGGGACCTTTTCTGTCCTCCCTGTGGCTCAGCTGAAGGGGGCAGGCAAAATTTGTACCAAGCAGTTGTTCCTGCACAGCAGGATTTTTTTCAGAGGCTGTGGCAACAAAAGTGAGGAAAGGGATGTGATGCTGTGATGGCTTTGCCACCTCAGGGCTGCTTTCCCCCAGCTGTGTGGGCAGACAGGCGGCACTGCTCATCCCTTTCTGGACCAGGGTGGAAGCCTAAGTTTGGTTTGCTGCTGCTCTGGAGCTGATGCCAGCTGTTAGCACAAGCCAGCACTTTGTGTGCTGGAATTATCAACCTGCTATCAGTTGCCTCGCATCTGGAAAATGGCCTCATCCCAGCTGTGGGTGCAAATGATGTGCGAGGATGGTGGGATAAGGAATGAAGCCAGTGCAGCTTGTGACAGACGTGAGAGCAAGGGCCGTGCAGGTGCCTGAGGGAGCACAGCTGGGCACTGGTTTAAAAACTGGTTTGCTAGTTTTGTCCTTAATCTTTGAGTCTCTGATCGCAGTACTGGAAGTACCAGTGTGTTACTGAGTCCAGGAATCAGCTGAGTAAGGTCTGCACAGGGAGGAGAAGACATGCTGCATTGCTGCACTGCTGCACTGTGGTCATGCTCACTAGCCTTCATCCCTTCTCCAGGACCATTAACCCCCCCAAAGCAAATAAACCCCTCAGTTCATTGCTGTGCTCGTGACTTGATAGAGCGACAGGTCACTGGCCATAATGACTGAAGTCATCATTGCACTGTTCCCAGAGCTGAATCCAACACTGGATTTTGAGATCCAGCTGAGCGTGACATCAGTTGCCATCCTGATTGCAGGCAGTCCTGCTCCAAGACCTCACCTGGGGAGGCTCACAGCTCTTCTCTCCCCAAATAGGACTAGTTTGGCCATGAAATACAGGCAGATGCTCCTTCAGCCGGCCACATCCCAGGATCCTCCTTTTGCCTTGTACCCTGGTGCTTCCATCCACCCACAACTGCTGTCCTCTATGCTGTCTGTCTGCTTCTTCATCCCCCTGAAGCCTCTGCCAAGCTCCTTCCCTCCAGCACTGTACAGATATCTTACTCAAAAGCCTTGGACAACGCTTCTCCTCAAAAGCTGAGATATTGCTGTGGGATGCGGCTGGTGCTTGCTGGAGTGGGAGCCTTGTTTCCCTGGCATGTGTTTCTTGCGGTGGAGCTTTGCATGTTGAACAGTGCTATATCAATGATGATAAAGACAGCCATGTGCAAAGTGTTATCATAACCTCTGCTTTAGCTGTCACCCAGCCAAGCAGTGCACACAAACAGCCCCCTCCAGCCCAGCATGAGGATAACTCCACCAGCCACCTGATGCACTTTTCTGCTCCTCCTCTCTTAAATTCTAGTTCTGCTTCAGCATCCGCAGCTAAAACCAGTAGGGAAGGTGTCTGGTCTGCAAGGGGAGAGAAAGGCATGGAAAATACCCCTGGAATCAATTCAAAGTGATTTATTTTTCTTTCTACTACATCACTTGTAATTTTTTTGGTGTATTTTTTCCCCTGAGTGGACCATTGATTACGAGTCTGGTTGACAGACTGCTGAAACCTCCTAAATCATCCTGTAAATACGTATTTGCACCAAAAGTCTTTCAGTCCTCAAAGAGGGAGGTCAGCTGTGCCATGTGGCTGAAGAGATCTGATGCAAAGACAGCAAGCACTCAGAAAATGATTGTGGGAAGCAGGTTACGAATAGCTTGAACAAAAGTTGTGTCCTTTGCAACAGGAGTTGGGAAGATGTTGGGAAGAGTCACTTGTCCAGTCTCAATTGTTCATTTCCCCATCCTTGGTGTCTTTAGCAGGATAAAATCTTTGTAGAGCTGTTCATTGTTCATCAAAGCTTGACTGGCTCCAACGAGTGGCAGTCACTACCTGAAAGTCCTGTTTCTTCTTTGGTGGTGGCAAACCTGAAGGCTCCTTTGATCCCAGGCAGGACCCCAGTCTCTGATCCCTGCCCCAAGCCTCTGATCCCACTTTTACAGCTTCCCCATCTGGTATACCAAACCCAGGAGTGTCAAATCCTATCAGCGATTCAGAGCCTTCCGCCCTGCCTCCTTGACCTCCATGGTCTGCCCAACCATCTGCACATCCATTCACGTCCTCGTCCCTGTCCCCAGACCCAGGCACCCACCTCTGTCACCCAGCTCCTCCCTGATGAGCTGCGTGGAGGTGACCAGCACCTGCAAGCAAGGGATGGAGCTGAACCTACTCCACCGCTGCTCTCTGCGCCGGGAATGCCCCTTCCCTTCACTCAGCCAGCGCCCTGCGTTTCATATTGCAGCTGGGAAGCAGCGGCACTGACCTCTGGCCCCTGAGCTGGGGTTTGGCAATGCAGTGGGTAAACTGCCGCAGCAGCTCCCGCAGCTCCCTGTTTGCACAGGCGCTCGGGGACGCGCAGATCAAAGGGCTCCGCATGAGTAACAGCGGCCCAGCCCTGCACTTTGTTCACGTTCCCGTCTCCCTTTCACAAGAGGCTGCCTCTGCCTGCCTGGAGGGCTCGAAGGGGTTGGTGGGAGAACGGGGGTGACCCCGTGAGGTCCTCCAGGCAGTGTGCTTTGACCTCGCCAGGGTGGCATGTCTATTTGTTTGGGTAGGTCTCAAAGCTGTCCTCCTCAGACTGCAACAGATGGTGGACTCGAACTGTAGCTGTGAAAAGCCATCCTACTCCTAATCCTAGACCTGACCTGCAGCCCAGGCATGGCCTGAGCTTCTCCCTGATGGATGTGGGAGACAGGGATCAAGGAGAGCAATGTGTACAGGAGTCAGGCCCACAGACAGCCCATGGCTGGGCAGCCATGGTGAGAAGCAGGGACTGGCAGAGGTTTCTGCTGTCCTGGGATGGGAGGGTTGCGTAGTGGTCAGCAGGGAGAATGGGGCTGCAGATCCCTCCCCAGCAAAGCCAGCTCTGCAGCAAAGGGGCACATGGCACAGACAGCTGGGGCACTTGGTGTTTAGGTTTGTGGGTGTGCAAGCACACCAACTAATTTGCCTCCACAGCTATAGGGAGAATCTGTCCATGAACCACAGAGCTCTAGCAAGAGCAGGCATTACAGCTCAACGCAAGTACAGAAAACAAGGTGTAAATTATTTTCTGAATCTAAGCATCAGGTGCTTCTTTCTCCTGTGAAGAGGCAGGGAGGCAGATACATATCCAAATGGTGGATGTTAATACAGATGTACAACATAAAATGTATGTCCACTGAAGCTTCTGTTCTTTTGGACAGGCAAAGCTGGCGGGGGAGCGTGGAGCCCGTGCGATCCTTTTTGACATTACGGATGATGAAAGCGCTGCTGATCAGGTACAAACCCCATTGATATTATCAGCTAAACCGCAGTGCCCCTGTCCCATCCCAAAATGTGCACAGGTCAGGACCCACCAGCCACCAGCAGTGGGAGGCCCCAGGAGGATACTGCAGGCTGGCTTTGACAGTTAGCTCCCACCCAGCTCATCCATGCACGCAGACAGTGCTGTTCTCTTTTGCTCACTGCATGGCACATCTAGATCTCCAACGCAGCACAAGCAGGCCAGCAGCTTGTGAACAGCATCTTGCTGCTCTTAAAGGACATTGTCTGGTTATTGAGCTTTTCTGCCAGGAGCTGGATGCTTCCCCTTGGGAAGTCACGGATTACCTCATCCCATCTGGTATGGACGGCCCTGGTGTACCTTAGGGGAAAGATGATTTCTTGGGTTTTCAAGCCAAAGCTACCTTGCTATGCTGTTGGTGATACTCTTGCTGCAAGCTTAACACTGTTTTAGAGACATCCAGAGGTCCCTTCCACCAACACTGCTGTCATATCTGGAAAGGAATAGGTTCCCCACTGAAATAATCAAGAGATAATGAAAAGCATCCAGTATTAGATAAGAGGACAGATAGGGGATCTGGTGGTGAGCTTATCAAAACTCTGAGCTTCCATCTGATTTCATCATAGAAGATAGTGCAATTTTGGGGGGGCAGTCTCTAAAGTATGTGCAAGAAACATTGGGAGGAACCAGATGTGCCTGGGGTGCCCGGATAGTCCTTGTTTCATGCTGTTTTGGACCATCTCTCACTGTGTGTGTTTCTTTACAGCTGAGAAAGCCCAGAGGTCTGAGTCAGCCTGTGGTTCTGATCAGGGGCCATGATGCTGAGCTTCTCATGGGTGTTGTGAACAAGAACAGAGAGGCCCATGTGAAGATAGAGGTCAAGGAGCCACCAGCTTGGGTGAGACACACCATTCCCACTGCCTTCTATATCCTTCTATATCCTTCTGTATCAGAGGGTCTGAAGCTGCTGTGCCATGGAGTAGGACTTTCCCAAAGATGCTGAGCTTTCCTCCCCAGGGATGGAGATGACAGCCCTTTGCAGGAGCTGCCTGTCTGCAGCATTCTGTTGACATGCTGCAAATAAAGGCTTAAAAGCCCTTTCAGCTGATTTAGTTTCTTTTGCTTAAATGTCACGAGTGAGGTGAGGGGATTCCCTGTCTCTTCAGGTGAGACCAAGCCTTGATTGTCTCATCTTGTGCTGCCTTAGACCATGGCCTCTAGGGAGCTGAAATGCTGCAAGACAGAAATTCCTTTCCTGCTGGAATGTACAGAAAAGACTGAATCCTTTTTCTTTTACCTGTAAAGAGCAAGGAGGTAGAGTTTGGCCAAGGGTCACGTATTCAAAGGCTGATGGTCAGGAAGAGATTGAGATTCCCTTGCCTAGCCTCTAATTCCCACCCCTGCCACACAAGAGTAATTTCTTTCCTGTGTTGTCCAACAGCCAGACTATGACGTGTGGATTCTTCTCACGGTGGTCAGCACTGTCGTTGTCATCATTTTGATTTTTGTTGTCCGCACCAAGTGCCAACTGAACAGGACTCAGGTAGGGATCTTGCACAGAGCAGATGTGTCTGAGCAAACAGAAATGCATCAAGGGCAGGAATGGACACAGTTTGGGAGGGGAAATGTGGTTCTGTGTGAACTGAAGATGTGGCCACAAGGCAGGTGCATCTCAGGGATGCGTGGAGTCATCCTGAGGTGCGCTGGCAGCATCCCTCATGCGGTGGCCTTGCTCTCCTCCTGCTGCCCACCAGCACTGCAGCCTGCAGTCCCAGCACCTTTCAGAGCTTGTCCCAGCACCCAAAGCTGCAGAGCTGACCCACAAGCTCTTGATTTTAACAGTAGTGTCTGCATTGGTAGAATATTTAGTATTTTTAGTAGAAACTAACAAATTAAATAATCGTCCTTCCAGAGGCAGATGTATGTCTACATTTGAGAATATCCCATTTGTCCTATAGAAAGACAAGCCTTTTGGGGCTCAGCACTGCTGAGTTTTGAATGTCCAGTGCCAGATGTCTCCTGCTGGTGACAAAGCCTACTCTGGCTAAGTCAGGTTAGACAAAAAGTCACCTCTGGAAATGAGAATCACCCCCAAATTCCTGATAATCCCATTTTGAAAATGGAAGGGCAATGAGAAGTATGGCAATGTAAGGCTGAGCCTCTCCTTAAAGCCTCCTTTCTCCCTGGCAGGACTCCTTGCAGCAGCAGACCATGCAGGCCATTGGGCAGCTGGCCACGCGCAAGTACCAGGCAAGGTGCCGGCAGGCATCACGGTGGGACTCAGCCAGCAGCTGCAGCTCAGCCCCGGTCTGTGCCATTTGCCTGGAGGAGTTCAGCGAGGGCCAGGTAGGCTGTGGAAGTGGCTGCTGGTCAGCCACGGCTCTGAGTTTCCTGGTCACGGTCAGCTGGGAGCTGTGGTGGGAGCCAAGCAGCCTGGCAGGGGTGGAAGACCCTTGGGACATTTCCTTCAGCAACTCCTGAGGGTTGGGAAAGGACTGGTATCAATGGAGGTCTCCCTACCCCTTGGCCAAAAAAGCCCTGCCCCTGCTGGAGACACTTGCCTGCAGATTCAGATTCCCTGAAGATGGGTCTCCAGCTGTTGCTGCAGGGTTCTTCCATCAAGAAGGACCCATCCAGGTCTTGGGACATGGTTTGCCTTGCTTACACTCCTCTTTTCTCCACCTCTCTCTAGGAACTGCGGATCATCTCGTGCTCCCATGAGTTTCACCGGGAGTGTGTTGACCCCTGGCTGCAACAACACCACACGTGTCCGCTTTGCATGTTCAATATTCTTGGTAGGGCTCAGACACAGGATTTCCCAGCCAGGGATGGGGTTGGGTGCAGGGGTTGTGCCGAGGAGGTCCGTGTACCCTTGGGTGATGCATACATGAGTGCGTCAGCAGGAGCATGTGTCTGTACGTGCGTGTACAGGATGGTGTGTGCATGGACAGGGGCCCTCATGCGTGTGAGCCCCTGCAGTGCAGAGCGAGGCGCTGGGCTTGGCTGGGACCTGCACCAAGAGGAGGGGTTTCCAGTCCTGGGACCTGCTGGGAAGGGAGGGGGGATCTGAGGGTCGAGGCAGCAGGGAGGGTGCTGGGTGTGAAGCACCGTCAGGATGGTTTGGTGGTGGCAGCGAGGAGTTGCAGGGCACTTGTGGGATGTAGGACCATAGTGGGAGTGCAGTGGAGGCTCGCTGGTGCTGGGGCTACCACAGCTGGGCTGTGGGACGTATGCTGGATGCTCTCTCCTCTCTCCACAGCCAGAGATTCGGTGGACCAGGCCACGGCCGCAGGCTCCAGGCTGGCCCCTCGGGACATGGAGCCCGGACGGCGACTCCACCTTTTCCGCCAGCACCCAGGACATGCCCTTTACCACCTCCCACATGCATATCCTCAGAGGAACCTCAGGAGCTTCCCCCTGGAGCCAGCCCACGGCAACCCCTTCTTCCACTCTCCAGAGCTCTCCCAGCTGGATGTTAACACCATCCACTACATGCCCTACAGGCCAGCCACCTCCCTGCCCACCTGCAGCCACCCGTCCCCCCTGGCCCCGGGTTTGCTGGGCCAGCAGCACCCCAACCCCTCGGCATGTGGGCAGACACTGCCACCCCACAGGACTTGTTCTCTCCAGTCCCAGCCCCCCTGCCTGGGGCTCAAGGCAGCCCTGGCGCAGAAGCAGCACCGTGCACCCGCCCTGCGCCGGGGGGCTGGCCACGGGCACCAGCACAACAGCAGTGGCTCTGGGGAGAGCTATCTCACGGAGCACAGTGGGTACCTGGCAGATGGGCCAGGCAGTGACTCCAGCTCAGGGCCCTGCCATGGTTCCTCCAGTGACTCCATGCTGAACTGCACGGATGTCAGTCTGCAGGGCATCCATGGCAGCTGCTCCACTTTCCGCAGCTCCCTCAGCAGCGACTATGACCCCTTCGTGTACTGTAGCTCGGAGGGGCCCGCCACGGACAACGGCCAGGACCAGCCGCGGCCACCAAGGGAGACGCGGCCCAGATCCTTGGACCTGATGGTGCCTGGGGGTGCTGCTCCGGCCAAGCCTCAGGTGCTCAGCCATGTCCACTACCACCACCACCAGCACCATCACTACAGAAGAGACGCAGACTGCCCACCTGGGCGGGCCGGGCCGGGGCCCGGGCAGCGCAAATCACGATACTCTGGGGCCAAGGTTGGCTTCCATGGTGCTCGGACACAAAAGAGGACTGAGAAAAGCCATCACTGTCAGCAGCCTCTGGAAAGCAGTGCTGTGCTACAGGAGGCAGCTCAGGCAGGACAGCCAGCCTGTCCCCAGAAAGGCCGGGAGGCCCCTCATGCCACCTCTGCTTCTCCAAACAGGCTGGACTTCAGTGTAGATGCCACCAGACAATCGGGAGCAGCTGGCACATCCCCTGTCCCACTGCTCCCAAGACACAGCTTACAGAGCCGTCATCACCGACGGAAAAGAAAGTGTCCCCTGGAGCCTGACCCTGCTCTCCTGCCTGAGGACTCAGCCTTGCCCAAAGCCTGTGATGCTCACGTTCCTCACGGCCATCCCGCTGGCTACCGCTGCTCACCTGAAGTCCAGCCCCTGATCCCAAGCACTCCCCTGCCCTGCAGCTCAGGCTCTCGGCCGCTCTGGAAGTGTTTAGTGCCACAGTCCGGCTCAGAGCTGAAAAAGCAGGAGGAGGGGTTGTCAGGACGGGAGGGAAACCGCACGGTTCCTGATTTTTCAGGGACGGGCACCCCCAGACACGGTCTGAGTCTCCACCTTCACTGCCCATCTCAGCAGGGTGGTCAGGGTAAGTCTGGTGTTTGCCTCTTCTTGCAGAAAGCAGGTGAATGAGGGTGGTTTGCTGAAGGTACTCTGGGTGCCAGTAGACCTGGTACCTTCATGGTGGGCTTTCCTGCAGGACCACTGACAACAGAAGCATTTCAGAGCTCACCTGTCTGGAGATGATGGCCTGAACAACTAGCAAGTCTGTTAATGAGTGCACCAAACCCTGCAGTCTCATCCTAAAATAATACAAATGAGAAATAAGGTGGCTATTTTTAACTGAACATCTCTAGCAGCTGGAATATCTCCCAAAGGAAGGGGTGCAACCATGTTTCTCAGTGTCCTTACGTCAGTCTGGATGTCTAACTAGCAGAGTCATTGTCGTTAAGGCTTATTGGGCTCTAGTTGTTTTAGCCAACCCCTCCTAACTGGAATCAATAAGGAAGGAAGTGTGTGTGGCCAGTAGTAATAGTAGAACAGACTGAAAGGGTTTATGGATTTGCACATCCCTCATTTCTCACCTGCCTCTCTTGCATGGGAGTTGCTTTTTAGTGTCTTTTGGAAATCAGACATAATTAAAGTTTGGCCCTTTGCCTAACTGCTGTACATTTCTCACTAAGAGAGGGAAAATGCATTTGAGACGAGGTTGTTTGAAAGACCCTAACCAAGTTTAACTCCCAGGTCTTGCTCTCTCAGGCTCCTCTGAATACAGCAACCTGCGAGTCAGCATGGGCAGGTGCTGGCTCCAAGCAGAGCCTGGCTCCCTGCCCCCCTCCCCCCCCCTGCCACTGACTCACTGCAGGTCCTCAGGCAAATCATTTTGATTTAGGTACCAAGTACAGATCTAGCTGCCTAATTTCTGTTAAAATGCTGGCCTTAAACTCATGACTCACTGTGCCCATTGTGCCGCAGAGGTAATAACTTCCTCCCCATGCTTGTCTATCCAGCCCTACACCACACCTGGCTCCTGGTGGTGGAGCATCTGCTGAGGAAGGAGGCAGCAGGGAAGGAGAGGCTGGTTGGGGGCACGGTGCTGGCTGCGTGCAGCGCTCCAGGCTCCCAGACTCCCAGGAACAGATTTTTTTTTTTTTCCCAGGCACAGAAGAGCCTGACACTGCAGATACAAGAGTTCCTTCAAAGGGCCTGGAGGGACGCTGCTGTTTCGAGAGATAAGGAGGCAGCAGTGCTGAGATGTCTCTCTGGTTTGCCGGTAGCCCTGAGTGCTGATGTGCCCGAGTTGGAGGTGGCGGGCAGTGATATCGCCAGGACGCAGCCCTCCCAGGATCACGGCAGGGGACCTCCACATGGAGAGAGAGAGCTCTCCTGGCATGGGGCAGGCTGATCAGGAGTTGCTTTGAACTCCCATTTCAAAATGAAACTGGGAGGACTCCCTGCGGCCCCAGAGCAGAAGCCTATGAGCCTAATGTGGGGCGCTGGGTGCCACAGTACCCAGGGCATTGCAAGGCTCCCTGCTGTGATGGCTCTCTCTGTGGATGGGCCCAGTGGCCGAGATCTGTGCCCACCTCCAGATGGCATGATGAGGGAAGGCTCTCTGACACCCACCCAGAGCCAGTGCCAGCGTGCTTTGCCAAGCACACACAGCCTTCATTCCCCCTTACCTCCCTTTACCAGGAGCAGTGGGTTTGAAAGCAGTGTGTCTCTATGTCTACTTGACTGCAGGAGCTTCTGTGGATGCTTTCAGGACCAGCGAGAGAGTCAGAATCTCCTGTAAGACTGAGAAAATACATAGAAAGGAAGGATTTAACTTTATTAGGAACTGAGGACAGTTTGGCTTATGCAGAAAAGCCATCAAGCTGAAAACATGTTGGTTGACATAATGCAACCTCTGAGTTATAAACACATCGGTTCTTTATCTTAGAAAGGGACTGGGCATAAATTAATAGAGAACAAGTAAAAAGAGCAAAGAACAATCTCAATAGACAGTCCCATGTAAGCAGGACACAGAAAGTAGACAAGGAGATCAAGGAGAAATGTATAGATGCCTCTAGATAAATGTTGTAAGGCTAAAAATATAAGTGGATGAATTAGAAAGCCTGGCTTTAAATTAAAGTTTTGACATAAACTTTTCAGAAACCCAGTTTAAAAAACAAACAAACAGTGGGACCCTGTAATTCCCAGGTGAAATTACAGAGAGGAAAAGAGTGTGTCTCTTCTGGTGGCATGGGAGGGATGCTATGTGTAAGGAGAGCGTGAAGTCCCGTGACAAGTAACACAAAAATCCCCAATTGTGCCTAAGCAGGAGGAGTATGGTATTAGGGTTAGAATACACTGCATTGGCACAGGCTGCAGAAGAGGAGTGAACATATACATGAGAATCTTCTTCACATAATTCTAACAGAAGCAGTCAAAAAATAAGATGCTTTTGGGCACGGGGATCATTTAAAGCCCCAGAAAAGGGCTGGCCAAGCAGCAGAGCAGAGAGGGCAGTCAGAAGCAAGAAGCCATTCTTCCAAAGCCAAGCTGTGGCTAGACAAAGAAATCAGAAGAGAGTTGGAAGCAAAGCTAAGAGCTGAGCCACGATGAGGCAGGGCAGGAAAGATTTCTGTGAATAACTTGTGAAAAAGAGAGAGCCTGTTAATGCAAACGTTTTCAACTCCATCAGAAGGAAGAAGGCTACCAGAGGCTCTGCAGGTCCAGGGAGTAACGCAGGTCTAAGAGTGATGTTCAAGGGCTGTAACAGCATAGCAGAGTAGCAAACTGAATTTATCGCATTAGTGATCAGCGGGGAAGTGCTTGAGGAGGTTCTCACCCTGTCACATCTCCATTCAGGGCATGGGGCAGAGGATCCCTGTAAATCAAGTCATCAGCATAGTCATTTCTGAAAGACATCACTAAAGTGGATAGTAACAAATTGCCAGGGCTACAGATCATTCACCTGGGCATTGTGCAGGGGCTCAGGCACAAAACTGCTAAACCATGAACGTGGACTGCAATCTGCTACCCATGCCCAGAGCCAGAAGGAAGAGCTGAGGACAATATTGGCTTGAAATAGCTGAAGCCACAGAATGATGAGCCTGACTTTCCTGCCAAGCAAACTGTTAAAAATTCAAATACAGGGTCTGACTTGTAGGCACATGGCTAAATGTGAAAGCCAGAGGAGGAGGCAACACAGCTTTTGTAGAGAGAGACAACGCCTTGCTGATCTTTTAGGGGAATGAACCTCTCAAAGGATAAAAGGGAAGGTGCTCTCATAGGTAAATAACTGACTAAAAAATAGGAGACAAAGTGCAGATCAGTCTTAATGGAGGAAAGTTACTTGGAGAAGGAGGAAAGTGGAGTTCTCCAACTGTCTGCACCTTTCAGCAAGCTCATAAATAACCTGGGCAAGGAGCTGAGATAGCAAAGTTTATAAAAGACATAATCCTTCAGGACTGTCAGCTTTAAAACTCGTTACAAAGTGTTGCAGAAGGATCTCCCATTGATGAGTTATCAGGCAGGAGTAGTGGATGAAATCCCATGCAAGTAACACAAAATGCCACACACGAGCAGAATCGCTTCCAAGTAAAAATCAAGTTATTATTAGAACCTAGCTGGGAACACACAGGACAAGAAGAAAGTGCCGTCATGCAGCTGCACAGGGCTGTGGTACTTTTACAGCTACCATCCGCCACTGATCACCGCTTCTCAGAAAAGGATATAGCAGATGGGAGAAGTGTGGAAGGGTATCGAGTACAATCACAGCGATGGGGTTTTTCTGAGAAAACAGAATGTAGAGACTTTCATGTGGGAAAAAGATGATTAGCAGAGGATATGAAAGAGGATATGAAATCAGGAGAGCGGGGGAGAAGGCAGATAAGAAAGACTCACTGTTGCTTATAACAAAGTAAACGATGGCATCAAATGGGAACTAGAAGCCTTAAAGCACCCAATAAGGTAACACGGTGCGCAGTGAAACTGGCGCTCATTGCCCAGAGGATATAGGTGCCAGAAGTAAAATGGGTTCAACAGCCTAGATCAAGAGCTATCAAATGCAGAGATGCAAATACAATCTGTGGCTCAGGAAGTCCCTAAACCAGGGTTTCCAGAAGCTGACAGTGCTCCTGTGTGATGCAGCACCCCGTAGGTGTGTGCCTACCTCGCCCTGCTGCAAGGTGAGGCTGAATCCTGGTCCACAGCCCCTGGAGAAACTCCACTTGTGCAGGCAGTGCCATGCACTGGCATTGTAGGGAATAACGCTGCCCGCAGCCATCGCCAGCGTGCCAGGGATGAGCCCAAAGATGCTTGCATGATCTTGGAGTTTCTGCTGCTTCCTTGAGTACCCCCATCAGCTTTTTTTGGTAGGGTTTGCATAAAGATACATCTCTGCCTCTCTTGCCTGGCAGACCATACCTGGGAGTCGTTTCACTGAAGAATCAATCCTCAAGCAATGCTGAATGGATCTTTTTAAGAGAAGTCAGACAACTAGCAATGAATTACAGCTAGATGGCTTCCTAAACCACCCCAGCATACACTGATCTCGTCCCAGAACAGCCAGATTACTCCCAGCATGGGCTGATGAAATCTCTTGATTTCTCTCTCTGGGAAATCTCACCTCCTGCAGCATACTGTCAGCATCCTCCCCCTCTCCTCCATCTCCTGCTTCTCCTCTTAGCCATTCCCTTTCATGTCATGTCTTTGATCTTTACTAGAGAGTGGGGAAAGGGATTAAAGAGCAGAGAAAGATCACCATTAAAACCTAATACCCAAAGAACAAGATTTCTGTTGCATCACCAAGGTGTGCTCCTTCAGGTTATTGCCCTGTGTGGGTCTCGATGGCCAGTTCAGCAGCTGAGGTTCTACCACTTCTCCCAGTTCAAGACCTTTTTTTAACCTTCCTTTCTGTTTGTATAGCAGGGTCGCTCACACAGGCACGATTTGCAGAAAATATTTTAATAATGCTGTTTGAGACTCGGGGCATCTGGCTGATCACAGAGCGATCGAAGCTGTACAGTCTCTTTTGTGTTGCACATAAGCTGGTGTACATGAGCACTTGGCAGTGGCTTATTCAATGTACCGGTGACGCAAATCACAAATGCCAGATACACTCAAACTCTGACTTCTGGCACTTTGGCCATGCCTGCACACATATATATATGTATAACACTGTGTCTGTGCATTAATTTTCCCACGTTGATTAGCTACATTTTCAAAGCAGAATCTCATTTGTTTGTTTTTTTCCCATATATTTAATTTTCAGAGGTCCTGTTCCTGCAGCTGGTGATTTATAACAAACAAGAAACTGTTTTGAAAAGTTGTTTTGAATTGCTCTCTATGAATATCTATCTGGGCATTTGTTTCCTTTTGATCTCAGGAACATTCAGGAAAATGGAAATGTGAAAAATAATGCACGTCTGCCTTCACTGAGCTATGCTGACTCTGTGTGAGAGCTCTGGGCAGGCTTGAGACATCTGGGAAAGGGACCGTGGTGCATCAACACTGTCACTCAGAAAGAGATTATCTGAAGCAGTAACTTGGGGTGCCCTGTTTCCTGGCAGCCCTTACGCTGAATGTTTCAAAGTGAACTACTCAGCTTTTGCCTGTCAATAATTCACCGGGTAGAAGGGGCTGGTGAAGAGCACGAGCTGCTGTCCTGGCTGGCTGGGCATGAGGGACCACCGGCATTTGGGGCCAACCACCGCTCGTTGGGTTTGGCTTGTTTGGGACTCAAAAGCCATTTGCGCAGCCTCTTGAACACCATGAAACGCACGTGCCATCCCTTTCCTGCACATACACACCACTTGCACTCTGCTTTTGTTGTCTGGAGTTTCTGTTGTTGTCCCGTCCCTGGAAGGCGCCGCCGTGGCACTGTGTGAATATGAATTGGTGTTATTTTCTGTTGCTAATCATTCTTTAAACGGCTGTACAGATTTTCCTCAAAGAGCAAACATCAAAAAGCCTCAAAAGCAAACTTGTAGTAGCAATGTGAATCCTGGGGTGTGCCATGCCCTTAGCCTCTGTATTTAAGAGTAGCTTGATGTCTTAGCTTTACGTTTTACTGTGCTTTAACTTAGGGGAATAAACTGATTGGGGAAGTGGCCAGAAAAGTCCCTCCAAAACAGTGGGAGAAAATGGTTTTCAGTGCAGCATCTGCTCTCTGTATTGCAGGGCCAAGGCCCCAGCAGCTGCAGAGTCCAGGAGCGTTCAGCTAGTTGTAGCTGACACTTTTCTTTCTCCTTTTCTTTGAATGCAGGATCTGAAGAGGAGGTCCAGGATGTCCATGAACACTCAGTTTAATAAAACACTGGCCTGTTTGCTTACTGGAGAGCTGGAATGGACAAAGATGTTCAGCGTACCAGTCATAGAGGAGCTCACATCTTGCTGTCTGCACAGGCAACGCGTAATAACCAGCCCTGACCTGCACAGCCCACGCCAAGATGCAGACTGCAAATAAGCAGTGCAACACCTGCGGTCTCCTCATGTTTCCACATTGTGATGGCCACACAAACACAGAGCTGTGTTCTCCAGGTCCCCTTCTCCTTTGAAGGCACAGGCAGCCCATATTCATCCTGTGGCATCTGTCTGCATGGGCTGGCTCACTTAGAGACCGGTCTTGGGAGTCACCAGCTGGAGAGCTCGTGGAGTGAGTGCAAGCTGCTATTTTGGCATGTTCATGCCACAGAAGGTTTTGCTAAACACTTCAAAAATAAACAAGCCTTCGAGACCAAAAGCTGCAGAAATTACTTTCTGTGGCCTGGTAGCTCCTGACTTCATTTCCTCACTTAGGTCAAAAGCCAGACTTCTTCATTTAACTTTTCCACTCTTATTTCAGACACAGGAACAAGCTGTTCTCCATCTCAGCACTCACAGGTCTGCCCTGCAAGGTGCTTCTTCTGACTTCATTGGAAACTAGCAAATCTCAACCACTTTTGATCACTTCATTGTCCCTCAGCTGACGCCATCTCGGCCATTTGCTGCATTTTGCCAGCAGCAGGAGAGGTGAAGACACAGGGACAATGTCAGCATTTCTGGGAAGGAGCTGGGTCAGACTCTTTCCCTCTCATCTGGCAATGTGAACAAGTCTCTCACTCATCCTCTAACTCCTCCATCTACCCTCAAAATAGGTGTGATGTGCAGCCCTGTTTAAAGCAACTCATTTGTTGAGCATATTTCAAACCTGAGATGCCCCTGTCACAGGAGCCATGGAAAATCCTTGAGCTCACCTGGCTCCTGCTTCTCTCCTTCCTCCCTCGTTGCCCCAAGACAGAGCAAAATTTCCCAGCAAAAGCATCCATAATAAATGCAGAGCAGAGCCCCATCCCTTACCCAGCCTTAGCTTCATATTTTGGAGACACCTGAAATGATCCTGCAAAGGAATTTTTCAAAATAACCTTCTGCCTTTTCTAACATTTTGATGATGGAGAGAGAAAACTTGAGAAATTGCTAGGCTCTTAGTTTATTACCTTTTTGTCCCCTCCCATTTGTGGTTTTTGGTTGTTTTTTTTTTTTTTTTAAATGTCACTAGTTCTTATTTCCTACATCTCGTAATTTGGGGACATTCAAGTAAAATAAAACATGACAAATTCAAAACATAGAGAACCCAAAGTTTTCATACAGCAGGGAATTAGACTGTTGAGTTCATTGCCCTAAATGATCATTCAGGCCAAAGAGTTAGCCAGATTCCCGTGTGAAGTGCACATTTATATGGCACCAAGTGTTTCCAGAGTTAATGCTAATGAAGCATTGGCAAGAATACAACACTGGGGCTGAAGGTAGCTCCTGACAATTTGAAACC